CGCAGAGTCCGGCAGGGGGATGAGGGGCAGGCAGAGAGACTCGAGGGAGGCCTGCTGGGACTCGGTTAGCAGGCAGGTGGCTAGAGAGGAGCATGGCACCCTCTTTCTGACAGGAGGGCAGAGCAGCAGGAGGAGGTTCCCTGCAGGCTCGCACATCAGTCGGAGCCTGTGGACTTCTCACGGAAGTTGTGAGTTGAGAGGGACTTGTGGAAACAGCTCCAACACGGTCTTGCTTTGAGTTCTCCATGTCGCCAGGAGCCTGAGTCTCCACAGAAGAGTTTTGCTGCCCACTCACATGAAGTCCCTCCTTTGCGTCTTATTTTTGGAGTGATGAAAATGTTCTTCTCAGAACATCAATCTGTTTTCTTTGGTTACTCAGGCTGACCCTGCTAAACCCTGAGCATGTAGTTTAGAGCATCAGCAGAACCAGGTGAGAAATTCCTAAAGAGCTTTCCTTTTCTGGGGATTAAACATTTTGCTCTTAGCCACAGGAGTGGGGAGGCCGAGGGAGACTGTTTCCCACAGAGAATGCAGGGGCTCAGGAGGGTGCAGCTCTCCTTGGCCTCTTCCCTGCCTCAGTGCGGGGCTGCACCTGGAGCACCCTGGTGGGGTTTATTTACCCCTTTCTTACACGGTAGAGGCTCAAATTCTCTACCAATGGATGGCTGTATATCAAAGCTTATTAGAAAACGTTGTTGCCAATGTCTCTGCTCCATCAGAAGCATCTATGCTGTTCTTAGTGTATCATGGCAGGCCCTTCGTGTCCTGGGCAGCACTCGTCAGGTTTAGTGATAAGTATTGCTACTCTTTTGTGTTGTGTTTTCCTAACTCCTTCTGAATTTGTTGTTCTGCAGGTTCTTCCTGCTTCTTTGAAAGTGTTGTTGTGCCTTATGTTTAAAAATTTTTTTTTATTGAGCTGTAATTCACACTGCACAGGCCTTGTCCTTTTAAAGTGTACAATTCAGGAGTTTTTAGTCTATTCACATGGTTGTGCAGCCACCACCGCTATCAAAATCCAGAACATTCTCATCATCCCACAGAGAAACCCCATACCCATCAGCAGTCAGTCCTCCTCCCCGTGTCCCTGGCAGCTGTGATTTTACTTGCTGTCTCTATGGATTTGCCTGTTCTGGACACTTCATAGACATCATAGTCTTTCATGGCTGGCGTCTTTCCCTCAGCATCATGCTTTCAAGGTTCATCTGTGTTGCAGCATGTGTCAGTACTTCATTTCCTTTCATGGCTGAATAATGTTCCATTGTAGATATTAATCATTATTTGATCCATTCAGTTGATGTGCATTTGGGTTGTTTCCACTTTTTGGCTATTATCTTGACTCCTGACCTCAGGTGATCCACCCATCTTGGCCTCCCAAAGTGCTAGGATTACAGGCGTGAGCCACAGCGCCCGGCCCTTGGCTGTTATCAGTAATGCTGCTAGCAGTATTTGGTTACAGGTTTTTGTGTGAACCTAGGTTTTCATTTTTCTGGGATGAATGATCAAGAGTACAGTTGCTGGGTCTTAGAGTAGTTGCATGTTTAGTTTTTACAAAACTGACAGAGCGTTGTTCACAGCTGCTTTATGAGTTTACATTCCTGCCCCCACTGTATTTTCCCACATCCTTACTAACAATTGCTATTGTCTGACTTTGTAAATTCCAGCCATCTTAGTGGGTCTGAAGTGATGTCTTATGAGTTTGATTTGCATTTCCTGATGACTAATGATGTTGAGGGTATTAGTTATATGTTTTCTTTGGAGACATGTCCGTTCAAGTTTTATGTCCATTTAAAAATAATTTTTTTTTCTAGAAACAGGATCTCACTATGTTGCACAGGCTAGACGTGAATTCCCAGGCTCAAGTAATCCTCCCTCCTCAGCCTTCTGAGTAGCTGAGACCTCATGGCGCTAGGTGCGCCACTGCACCTAGCCTTATGTCCAGTTTTCTAATTGGGTTGTCTATTTATGACTGAATTGTAAATTCTTTATATATATTCTGGATGCTAGGTTGGATTTGTGATTTGCACATATTTCTCCCATTCTGTGGATTGTGTTTTCACCTGCTTTTGTCCTTTGAAGCACAATGTATTTAATTTTGATGAAGTCCACTGTCACTGTTTCTAGTATGTGCTTGTGCTTTTGGTGTCATATCTAAGAAACTATTGCCTAATCCAAGGTCATGAGGGATTTAATGCACATGCATTTTTCTAAGAGTTTTATAGCTTCTTTTGTTTTCTTGTTTATTTTTTTGAGACGGAGTCTTGCTCTGTTTTACAATCTCTGCTCACTGCAACCTCTGCCTCCCGGGTTCAAGTGATTGTCCTGCCTCAGCCTCCCGAGTAGCTGGGACTACAGGCACACGCCACCAGCCACTTTTTGTGTTTTTAGTAGACACTGGGTTTCACCATGTTGGTCAGGATGGTCTCAATCTCTTGACCTCTGCCCTCCTAGGCCTCCCAAAGTGCTGGATTACAGGCGTGAGCCACCGCACCCAGCCTAGTTTTAACTCCTGTGTTAGGTCTTTGTTGTATATGGAGTGAGGGAGAGGTTCAATCTCATGTGTTTGCATGTGGATACACAGCTATCTCAGCATCATTTATGGAACATGAGTTGTTTCTCAAATGGTGTTTTTTGTTTTTGTGTGTGTGTGTGTGTTTTTTATGGGTTGTCCTTCCTGGCAGTGAGGAAGAGAATGTGAGGTTCTTGGCTTTAACGACAGAGACGCGTGTAATGAGTGCATCTTGCACAGCAGGAGCTATTTTTGGTGCTTAGGTTACAGATAGTAATAGGTCCTGGTTCCCGTCCTCAGGGAGTTCACTTCTCTACACAGCAATAGAAACAAAAACTGCTCTGCAGTCTTCCTTGCTGTGGCATCCAGTTCTGGCTCTAGAAACCACGCTCTTCAAGTGGCAGAGATATCTTCAAAGAGTTTTTTAGTGCCTCATGTCTTTTCTGTAGGAGTCTTGGTAGGTCGTGCAGAAATACTGGGGAAGACATCCCTGAAGATCTGGAATGTGACACGGACAGACTCAGCCCTTTATCGCTGTGAGGTGGTTGCTCGCAATGACCGCAAGGAAATCGATGAGATCATGATCGAGTTAACCGTGCAAGGTAGGAGCTCATGCAAAGGTGAGACATCTCTGCCCTTTTCAGGCCTCGTGAGTCCGTAGCCATAGGATGCAAGAGATTGGTTGTATCTTGGTTTCTTTCCGTCCAGAACTATATCCCTGAGGGGTTCACATGGCTTAGGGAGAGCACTGCTGAGAGCTAGACTGCCTGAGCTGGGACAGAAGTTGAGAAGGGAAGGAAGCTCCTGCCACTTCCTTCCACCTTCTAGGGGAGGCGCCTTCACACACGGGAGGGCAGCGTGCAGCGGTGGAGGGTCAGTCTGCAGATGGGATCCTGGGAACGGCAGTGGTGCGGCACGGCTCGATTGGCTTTCTTGTCTTTGGAACTGATTTCTTGTGGGCTTTAATAAGAATGGAGCCCTGTCGCTGAGATCTTAAACACCACCCACTTCTTTTCCCACAGTGAAGCCAGTGACCCCTGTCTGTAGAGTGCCAAAAGCTGTGCCAGTAGGCAAGATGGCAACGCTGCACTGCCAGGAGGGTGAGGGCCACCCCCGGCCTCACTACAGCTGGTATCGCAACGATGTGCCGCTGCCCACGGATTCCAGAGCCAATCCCAGATTCCGCAATTCGTCTTTCCACCTAAACTCTGAAACAGGCACTCTGGTAAGCTCTCTTCTAAGAGGTGAGGATGTAGATGTTTTCGTTGGGGCAATTGATGCTTATTGTGGAAAGAAGAGTTATTAGGAGAGATGGTGAAACTCTTGATAAGACAGGAGCTAAAAATCTAGAATGTTAGTGATTCTACAGGAAAAGTGACCCTTCCTCTTTTTATCCCCTAAGAATGTAAACAAATACATTCTTAGGGGGTAAAATAAGGAAGAGAAAGAAACCGTAGATTGAGACTGAAGAGGGATATTAAAAATGTTACTGGGGTCCTAATTTGGATAATCAACTGTAAAAGTCATCAGACAACCAGAGAAATTCGATTACTAGCTCGTATTTGGTGATCTGTTAAGCAATTGTTAATTGCTTTAGGCATGGTAAAGGTTCTGTGGCTGTGATTTGTACAGTCCAGGTCTTCTAGAGATACATAGTGAAGTATTTATGGATAGAAGGTGTTTGGAATTTGTTTCAAGATAACCCAGTGTTGGTGGTGGTGGGAGGTGGGGGAGGAAAGGAAACAGGCTGGACAAAGTGACCTGGCCAGCAAACCACACCAGGCTTTTACTACATGTGGTTCTCTCTTGGAGGTACCTTCTGGTCTGTGGACTTTCCAGCTCCACGTGGTCATCAGACAGATTTTAATAGGGCCCTATGTGTTCATTTTGCCAAAATGTCTGAGAAGCAGTCATCGTCAAAGAGCCCCTTTACCAGAATAAAAGCAAGGATCCACCTCACATCCTGGATGTTGCCGGGCTTTGGTGTCTCCAGTCCCAAGGGGATTGGTCATTGGGGAGCTCTCAGCAGGTATCAGGCAGTGGATCAGGGAGGAACATGCACAGTGCCGGGGAAGCCACGGGGAAGTCAAAAGCAACCTCGTTCTGGACCCAGGTAGATGTGCCCTCAGAAGTCTGCCTTGTGATTGGCCCAATTATCTACTTGTCATTCCCTGAAACAGGTGTTCAGTGCTGTTCACAAGGACGACTCTGGGCGGTATTACTGCATTGCTTCCAATGACGCAGGCTCAGCCAGGTGTGAGGAGCAGGAGATGGAAGTCTGTGAGTCTCTTTTTCAAAAGGTTTCATCACAAGACTGGGAAGTGAATAGAACATTTCAAATTTAATATTTTCCCATCAGTTTAGAGGTCTCCAGAATTTTATCCAGTTATTATCATTTTGTAGAAAACTGACAGAATTTTAGCTCTAGTCATTTTATCTGCAGACAGAGCTTTAGCCCCTAGAGATATTATCTCAGGGCCCTGGTTCCCCTAAGGTGGGGCGGGGGGTATTGAGAGGAGGCTGGGGACAGATAGGATGTGTCCAGATCACTTGGGGAGCTGTTTTTTAATAAATAAAAAAAGACAGGGTCTTGTTTTGCTGCCCAGGCTGGAGTGCAGTGGTGCAATCACAGGTCACTATAGCCTCAAACTCCCAGATTCAAGCCATCCTCCCATCTCAGCCTCCCAAGTAGCTAGGACAACAGGCACATACCACTGTGCTCAGCTAATTTCATTTTTTATAGAAATGGGATCTCACTATGTCACCCAGGCTGGTCTCAAACTCCTGGCCTCAAGCAGTCCTCCCACCTCAGCCTCCCCAAGTGCTGGGATTACAGGCATAAGCCACCGTGCCTAGCCAGGAGCTTTTGTTGAATCCTTCCCTCCTCCCTATTTGCAGCTATCCCCAGAGCAGTGTTTTCCAAAACTGCCTGGTGATAACCATTTGGAATCACTGTTTCACTTACAGATGCGAGCCTACCTCAGACATATGCTACAAATGTTTCTGTGTAAGACAAGCATTCCAAGTGATTCTTCTCATCCGTCCCATCTGAGAAACTCTGCTTTAGGGTGTTTTCTCCTCAAGTTTTGCCCCAGACCTATTCTAGCCTATTGACATTTTAGTGATGAAACTTGAGAATTGACATTATAAAATCAAATTGCATGGCCAGGCGTGGTGGGTCATACTTGTAATCCTAGCACTTTGGGAGGCTGAGGCAAGTAGATTACCTGAGGCCAGGAGTTCGAGACCAGCCTGGCCAACATGACAAAACCCTGTGTCTACTAAAAATACAAAAATTAGCCAGGTGTGGAGGTGGGCGCCTGTTGTAGTCCCAGCTGCCTGGGAGGCTGAGGCAGGAGAATCACTTGAACTTTGGAGGCAGAGGTTGCAGTGAGCCAAGATTGTACCACAGCACTTCACCCTAGGCAACAGAGCGAGACTCAAAAAAAAAAAAAAAAAAAAAAAAAAAAATTGCAAGTTGATTTTTAAGTGTGCATTCATATTTCAGAACCAATACAGAGAGTTTTTAAAAACTTCCAATTTACTTGGCTCTTGTTGATAAATTCCCTGCATAGTTTTCCATGTGTTGCTTGCCTAAAGGAAACAGCTGCCAGAGCCCCATATGAAGGTGACCCAGTGCCTTTGCCCAGTATATAGACATGAGAAAAGCGCTCCGAGCTTATAGATCGGAGGTCAGGCAGCCAGTGGAGACAAAGCCTGAGTTCTTACCTAGCATTTTTTACTTTCTAATAGGGCTTGAAACCAACTTTCCCCAGCAATCCACAACAAAGGGAGACCCTGGAAATTAGGGATGTTTTCTCCCTTGGGATCCTGGCTCCTAATCTTGTCGTTATAAGCATTTTCTCCATAAATTAGGTTCTCAGGCGTTCAGCCGAGGATCTTTAAGCCTCCAGTACCAAGCCCATTTTAATAGTTTTCAGTGTAGCTGCATTTCAACTGTAGAAGTCTCAGTACTTTTTACATGTGATGTTAGGAGTTATGGTGTCCTATGTGTTCTAGGCTGGAAAGATTGTAAGTGTTCTCTCTTCTAGCTGGGTAGGCCCGAGGGGGTGGGGGCAAGTGGGTTTGGAGTGAAGGAAGGAGGCACAGCAGGGTCAGGGTCCTTTTAAAGAACAGTTAGTGTGTATCATGGCTTTCCCCAAACCTCCTTTTCTTCAGATGACCTGAACATTGGCGGAATTATTGGGGGGGTTCTGGTTGTCCTTGCTGTGCTGGCCCTGATCACGTTGGGCATCTGCTGTGCATACAGACGTGGCTACTTCATCAGCAGTAAACAGGATGGAGAAAGGTGAGCCTGCCTCTGTGAAAAAAGGGAAGTGCAAGCTGGCAATGATATCACGACCCTGTTGTTAAACTGCCCTCTTCTCCTCACAGTTACAAGAACCCAGGGAAAGCAGATGGAGTTAACTACATCAGGACTGATGAGGAGGTAATGATTTAGTAAACCCGGAAATCTAGGTGAATCCAGCAGGAAAAACGGCATTCCTCCTTAGAAACCATGTGGGTCTCCTAGGAAGATTTCTGAGTGCTCGTGCAGCTCCTGCACTCCTCAGCCTCTTCACAGTAACACACATACTAACGGGATTTGTGCTTTCCAAGCACTAGTGATTGTACTTTTAAAGAATGATTATTTGATTTGTATTTAGCTCATGTTAGACTTAGTGTTTTTTCTTCTTGCCACCAGGCCCCTTGATGGCTCTAACTTTGTGTTGGCTTTGCAGGGCGACTTCAGACACAAGTCATCGTTTTTGATCTGAGAGCCGCAGTGTGGCCAAGAGCCCACATGCACATACCTCTACTATAAACTCCTGTCAAGGCAGCGAGAGCCGAGTGCACTTGGACAAAGCTAGACACTCATTCAGAAGCTTTTTGTTTTGGCCAAAGTTGACCACTACTCTTTTTACTCTAACAAGCCACATGAATAAAAGAATTCTCCTCAAGGTGGACACTGTAAATGTAAACAAAGGAAGAGAAACTGCGTGCGTTCACTGAGTTGGGTTTCTGGCCTGATTCCCACACAAGTATTAGGGTGATCTTCAAGAGCGTGCTCACATAAATGCTCCTGTGCTGGGTCTTGTGAAGCCTGGACAGCGCCCTGTGAGATGGCGAGGTGGCAGTGCGGCACCAGCAGTGAGCGCGTCCTGGTGGGAACCCACAAAAGGCTTCTTAGGCAGCGGCCTTACTTCATCAGCCCGCACACGCCACCGCAGTTTCTTCTCAAAGGCCCTGCTGATCAGTGTTGCAGTGTCCGTTGTGGAGAAGCTTTTTGGATCAGCATTTTATAAAAACAACCATAATTGGGAAGGTAAATTGCTTGCTGAAGAGGGATCTTGCCTGAAGAGCCCTGCTTGTCCAACAGGGTGTCAGGATTTAAGGAAAACCTTCGTCTTAGGCTAAGTCTGAAATGGTACTGAAATGTGCTTTTCTATGGGTCTTTATTTTATAAAATTTTACATCTAAATTTTTGCTAAGGATGTATTTTGATTATTGAAAAGAAAATTTCTATTTAAACTGTAAATACATTGTCATACAATGTTAAATAACCTATTTTTTTTAAAAGAGTTCAACTTAAGGTAGAAGTTCCAAGTGGAACTAGTGTTAAATTGGAAAATATCAATAATTAAGAGTATTTTACCCAAGGAATCCTCTCATGGAAGCTTACTGCGATGTTCCTTTTCTCACATAAGTTTTAGCCTTTTTCACAAGAGAACTTAGGCTGTCTACACATCAAACCATTGTTGCTTAGGAAACTTTTAAAAATTATAGTTGAGCAATGTTGAAATCAGTTTGCATCTCTCCAAAAGAAACCTCCCAGGTTAGCTTTGAACTGCCTCTTCCTGAGATGACCAGGGCAGTGTACCCAGAGGCTACCCAGAGGCCTCAGATGGACAGAGACGGACACCAGTAAGCTCCTGGGGTTGCGCCAGGCACCCCTGCTCTAGCTCAGCACTGCCTTGCTGTCTGCCAGGAGGCTCAGGCATCTTTGAGCCTGGCTGTGCCCCCGTGAGCTTTTCTCCTGTGGCCTCTGCTTCATCCAGTACAGCGCTAAGGTGGGCACTCCAGGGACACGGGTGTCTTCCATGTAGTGTCCCAGCTTTGGGCTCCCATAACAGACCTTTTTGGTTATGGATGGCTTACAAAATACAGCTTCCACTGCTATTGTTTTTAAAGTTTGTTTTAATTATTAAGACTAAGACCAAAGGCAATTGCAAAATCAAGTCTGTCAATACAATATTTTAAAAATAGATTCCACTGTTCCTCTTTGCCACAGAGAAAGCACGCAGACACCACAGGTTCTGTCATTTCATAACAAACCATTGTGAAGTGGCGGCCAGTCCAGCCTTTGAAGAACCTCAGGTGGTGCAGGCAGGTGAAAGGCCTGGGAGTGAGGAAAGTGAAACGCCTGAATCAAAAGCAGTTTTCTAATTTTGATTTAAAATGTTTCATCTGCCGGAAACACTGCTCAGTTTGTGGGGAAACATCCTTCCGAAGCCTGAGTTCTTCAAGAGCAGGTGTTCTCAGCCTCGCATGCCTTGCCGTGCTGGACTCGGGACCCAAGTGCTCCGAAGCAAGGAGCTGCTGAGGAGCCCCTCACTCCACTGTGTGCCTGAAGGGTGCCTCTCACTAGTCACCTGGTCGTTCAGCTTCCAGTGTCTTGAGTTTTTTATACGTTGACAGCTTTTTTTAACTGCATACATGAGACTATGTTGACTTCTTGTAGTTATGTGAAACCCTTTGCCACAGGCCTCCTGGCAGAGGGAGGAAGTGCCCCAGCAGTGGCTCAGTGCTCCGTGGCGTGTTCCGCACGGCATCCTGGATGCTGAGCATGCAAGTTCCCTCCATTGCCATCTCGGTGGACAGGGATGTCTCCCCACCCTCAGTGTGGGGGAATAACGCTCCAGCCTCCTTCTTGGTTGTCATACTGAGAGGGTAGCCTTATTGCCCCCTCTTCTGATACCCTAAAACCTTCTACACTAGTGCCATGGGAACCAGGTCTGACGAAGTAGAGAGACGTGAAAGTGGAGTCTGGGAAGTAGTTGCCTATAACTGAGACTAGACAGAAAAGGAACACTCATGTATTGTAAGATATGAATGTGACCCGACGCAAGGCCCATACGAGGCTGTGACTCTGCCTTTGGGATGGATGTTGCTGTACATAGATATTACAGACTTGTACTAACACACCTATAATTTGGTATTTGTTTAACCTCATTTATAAAAACTTAAAAAAAACCCAAACATCGCTTCATTCTTTCTTGTTTGCTCTTACATTGAGTTTGTCTCTTCTTCCTAGCATCTCGGTGGTTAGGCATGCACACAAGAAATGCCACGACCTATCCATGAGGGAAGTCAGTGCCTGGGCAGTAGGTCAGCCTGTGCGCTCCAGAGCAGCGCTGTGCCCTCTACCACCTAGTCCACCTGTGTCACAGTTCCCACGTGGGATGGCAGTGGGCGGAGCTCAGTGGCATTCCATCCCCAAAACCAACCAATGCACAAAATCACTTTGTACTTTTGCTTTTGTAATACTAGGATTAAGAAGTCAAACCAACTGCGATAGTCCTAATAGAAGAGACTCAAGTCGTTCCCTCATCACTGGAGCACCCCTTAGCAGAGGGCTGCACAAATCGGCTCAGTGCCGCTCTCAGGAAGGCCACAAAGTCATTTTTTCCCAGGCAGGGATGGTTTTTATGCCTGTTACAGAAACCACATGGCTTCTCTGTGGGCGCAGAAGCAGGTGGGTGGATGAGCTGCCCTTCAGGACAATCATTTCTTTTTCCTAACAGGAAAGATTTGGTTTCATTCCTCTTACGTGCTTTAATGTAAAATTAAAATGTTTACCAATAAGAGCTCTGTTCTAAAAACAGAAGAGTTCTATTGACTACTGGAAGGCTGTATTTATGCTAAAGCTTTATTACTTTTAGAAAGCTGTACACTTCTTTTTGTAAAAAATTACAATTATAAATAGAAAAAATTTTAGAATCAAAATTTGGTCATTACAGATGGGAAAATATGTACTATAAGGAATTCAAACACGTTAACAGAGGCTTGATTTATATAAAAGAAAGCTGAAGTTGTGTTCCTTACAGATCAGATTATATAGCTTATCTGAATGGACTTGACGCTTTCAAATGGAATAAAGTTATATTAAATAGATAAGGCTTCTAAATCTGGCACGTCTCTATGATTTTACAGTGTTTAACCATGTACATCATACAGAGAATAGAAAAGGCTGGCCGGCCAAGCGCAGGTGAGTGCCAGGCCCTTGAGGAGGAGGAGCTCTCGTGTTCCATAGCAAAGCACTGCCCAAGGGCTGTGGGAAGTGATCCAGCTGCCTTTCCACACGGAGGACATGAGACTGCTTCCTCAAGGGCTCCTGGCTTCCTGGACACTGGTGGGGATGCGCTGTTTTAGTTGGCTGTTTTCAGAGGGGTCTTTCGGAGGGACCTCCTACTGCGGGCTGGGGTGTCTTTAGTCCTGGCTGGAGACCTCACATTCCACTGCTGAGGCTGTGGGGGCCTAGGGAAAGGACACATGCAGTCATTCTGGAACTCAGAAAAACCCTGACAAAAACATCCAGCTCAAAAGGAACATGGCTAAACTTACGGTTTATCGGGCGATGATAAACATAAGATGTCATTTCCTTGACTCCAGGATTCAGTTTTCTCTGAAAGGGAGTCAAACATAAACAAATTCAGTTTTCCCAGAATCTCAAAGGCAGCTCATGTATCAGCCCAGAAGGAAACCAAGAACTTGCCTTTGGCTGCTGAAGAAGTCTGTGGAGTCCTGATGTAACTGACTCCTGCTCCAAAAGTGACATCATTGATGGTCTCTGCAAAAAGGGGAGACAACCCTGTGAGTGAAGGCGGAGCGTCTCTGCTCTAGTCATCCATGTGGTGTAGGCACAGTGTCTACATCAGTGTTGAGTGGCAGCCCTCAGACCTCCATGGGACCCTGTCCCAGGGCCTGGCAGTGTTGAGGGCCCCTCCTGGGGACACGCCTTTCCATCTCTCTGACTCCCTTCTTTGACCGCAGCCCTCCTTAGGCACTCAGCCGAACCCTGCTCCTCACTTCTCACACCTCTGGCTTTCCTCCCACCCCGTCTTCCATGACCGCCCCTGTGCCAGTGACCGCCCTGCCCCACTCACTACACTTCTTATGTGGCTCACCCAGATTCCCCGAGGACACTCAACTCCTTGCATCTGCGCCACCATGCGTCCCTGCTACGTTTTTAGCCAGTGAATGGACCATGCAAGCTGGAAATGGGGCACCATGAGCAGCTCCCCCACATGGAATCAGCAGCCAAGTCCTGTCCCTTCCACCTCCAGTCGCCGCTTCATCCTGTCCCTTCGAGCCGCACTAGGAGTGGCTCAGTCCACCCCACCCTTCGACTTTGATTCTTCATTGCACCTGCCCCTGACCAACCCCCTCCAGTTTGCCCTCAGGAGCAGGAGAACACAGTTTAGGAGCAGATTCCACCGTAGCCTCGGTGTCTTACCGGCTGTGTGAGCTGCTCTGAGACCCTTAAGTTTCTTCATCTAAGTGGGTATAAAAACGTAGCTACCTCATTGGGGGCTGCCAGGACTACATGAAGTTATCTATGTTGAGTGCGTAGCATGGTGCCGGCTGCGAGGCCACTGCTGAATAGATGTTAGTGGCCACTGTCACTTAACTAGCCAGCACCCCTGCATCACTGGAGTTATGTTTAATCAAGAAGCTGGTAAATTCATTGCCCTGCTTAGACACCTCGATGGCTCTATGTTTTTAGGAGAGCCTAAAGTCCACCCTCAGTCTCGGCTGGTCCCAAGCTGCCTTTGCAGACTTACCTGTTATGCTCAGGTGAACGTGCATGCACACACGTCCACCCCCCTGCATCCCCTTCCTCAGAAGGCCCTGCCTGCACGTTCTGCTCCTCTGCCGCCCGCCCCATCTGCCTACACATGCCACCCTTTCTTGGAGGCCTGGATGGTGCAGCCTCGCCCCTCCCGGGTGGTGCTGTACCCAGTGCATACGCTGCTATCGGCACACTACCCAGAACAGCAGGGCTGGGCAGCTGCTTGCTGGTGCCAGTGAGCCTGCTGCCTTTCTGCAAGCACACACGAGGAGGCAGCTTCAGAGCTCTCCATGCTCTGCACATGGTGTCTTGAGGATGGACTGTGTCTTCCCATTTACATTTTAAAGCTCATCAGCCTTGCGCTGTGTACCTGATGGCTACTTGAGTGCCATTAGCAGACAATGGTAGAGAATTCTGTCATCATCACTGCCAGATCTGCTTATTCTGTTTCTGTGAAGTCTCTCCTTGTGCTGTCACGTGAAATTCCCTTCCTTACACACACGTTGCTCTTCCTGTTTGGAAGCCCAAATGTGCTCCAAAAAATTAGTCTCCCATCTTTACAGAAGCACAGGTGCGGGGGTTCTGACATCCCCCGGGCACTGTGCATAGAATCAAGGGCAGCAGCGTCTGTGCCACCCGAATGGTAACAGTAAGAGGGACTTGCTAAAACCCCCACAGATTTTCAGTTAAAGTCCTAGCATAAAAATTGAGTAATTTTCACTTCTGTCTAGCAACACCACTTTGTTTGAATTGATGCGCCACAGTGCTGAACTGGGTGGCATCTTTTCCACCAGCTTTGAAGAGCTGAGACACTTCCTGACAGTCACCCCCACCTAAACTAAAAGTTGCCACAACAATCTGGACGTATAAACCACAGAGAAAACAGCACTGAGTGCTTTTAGGCTACCTAACAATTCTCCCAGGAAGGAGAGCTAATAGGAGACCCTGCAAGCATTTCTTCCTGGTTCAGTAAAGAGAGAGATGGACAGAAACTGCATCAACAGGAATATTATGTCCAAGAGCCTGAAGCAAGAACAAGTCCTCCACCGACTCAATGACACCGGGGCGCCTGATTCCCAGCACAAAGTATGGCTCCCCACATGCAAACGAGGGCAGTATGAACACTCCCCGCCAGGCTGCACTGCGGAGGAACACGGGCTGCTAGGAAACCAACCCAACACTGACATCAGGGGCTCACAGGATGAGCACAACTCAAATGAGATGCATCCTCCCTGTTTCTTCAGCATATGGTGCCTCACTGCCAAAATAGAAGCACTTGATGCTCCTGAGCCAGGAACATCGAACATACAGCAAGCTCCAACACACAGAACATCGCACCTGTCCACGACGCAGGATCCCAAATTACCCACTGCTTTTAATGACAAATGCCGTCATGATTCAGTAGTCATCTGAGGGTGGGGGTGGGACAATCTCCCTTAATAAGGGGATTTGGATGAAAATTGCCTCTAACCTGCTAAATATTCTAGGAGATCACAGCATCAGGTGACAGAACATTCAAGTAGCTAGAACACAGCAGGTGCTCCATACATGTGAGCTGACTGAAGGGGTGACTAAAGGAACAGCATGACACCTTGCTGCCCTGTTGCCAGGAAAAGCATCTTAGCACGCTCTTGTCTTCCCCTCCTGCAGACAGGACGGGGAGACAGGCTCCAGAAGGGGCACGAGAGGTGGGGCCAGAAGGCCTGGGCTCAGCGCCCAGCTCTGCCCTCCCAGAAATCTCCAGGAGGAGATGTCTGCCGCCTCCCAGGTTCCAGGCACTGTGGTGGGCCCCTGTGGAGACAGTGAGGAGTGGAACGGCCAAGGAGGATCCTGGAAGAAGAGTGTGGAGTGTGCAACGAGGTGATCAGTGCCACAGGAGGGTCAGGGACACGTGGGGCTGCATGCAGCTTGCCAAGGGCACTGGGCACAGCCGAGCACAGAGTGAGGGGCACGAGGGGACACGGCAGGCAGGGCCTGGCTACTATTCCATGGATTTGGGCAGGAAGAATTTGTTCTTCCTGTAAGAGTTTTCTCAAAAGAATGTTTTTTTTTTTATAAGATTGGAGACAGTAAGAAGCTATCAAACAAGGGAACTGGAAAAAAATATTCGACTCTCCTAACTCACCTCTCTTTTGAAATAAAAGGAAAAGAACAGACAGTAGAAAAAAGCACGGAGGGGAATGAGACACAGGCTCCGGACAGGTCCTTGGGTGTCCTGTCTTGGCAGCTGCAGAGCGTGCATGGCACCTGCTGGTGCTGACGTCTGCCCCATGAGGGCCTGCAGGCCCCTGTGACGTTTGACTGACTGCATGGAACAACACTCACTCAGTGCTCATGGATCAAGCTACCGTGATCGCTGTGAAACACTCCACCTCAACAATGCACTCGCACGGTTTGACCACCAAGA